CAGTGCTTATGTGTTACATCATGTGTACCGTGTACTGTTCATCGAAAATCATTTTGTATTCCCACGCCCAGAACACCAAGGCTTGACAATTTTTCTACATTGACACCACTAGGGAAAAAGACTTATTCGTCATTTTTCCCATATGTTTGGCAACCTTCGAGTAGATTAGAAAAATGGCAGACATGTCACCACTTGCTGAAGAAGCTGCGCAATCGCCTAATGAGAGTAGTAGCATGCACTTTTAAGATTAGGTCTGAAGTGCTATCTGACTTCGGAGTCCTGCGAGCGTTCTGATTGGCAGGGATCTTCTCCCCCTTTAAGTGGGCGTTGCTCTATTTTCATTTTTGTACAAATACTGGAAAATAAAAGCGGAGGTTTTATATCCGCACCTGCTGCAGTTTATGAGTAATAATAACAATCAAAAGGCCCAAATTTTTGTTTTTGAGCACAGAGATGTGTTTACTTTACGTACAGTGGTCGTACCCTTTGATTGATTTCGTCAATTTGCTATACCAACTTGCCTACAACAAAACCCAATGCGAATATAGCAATGTTTCTACCAAAGAATTAAAAGTTTTGGAAGAAGATTTGGAAAATTTTTATAAATTCGGATATAAAATTTTTTGCCGTTTTTTTCTATCACTTTGGAACATGTGCATTCTAAAACGTGCAATATTGCCTCTGACAAATGCAACAGAAAATATTCTTTTGAGCAAAAAATTGTCGAAGAAAGAAAATGGGAAAAAATATCCAAGTATGAAATGTATTTTTACAGTGTTAAATGTGTAGACTAAGGAAAAAAAAACTACCGTAATAAAAGAAGATGTTTATAACACCTTTCAAGACTTTAAATGCATTATTGTCGAAACAGAATTTTTGAAAACAGCACACAGCATAACTGAAACAATTTCCATTTCTTTTAATTGAATCACGTAGCATATTTTCGATAACTCAATTCAACCATTTTTTGTTAATCCATATTTCTAAAATTCCTTCATGTATCTCTGGATAAAGGAATAAAGACTAAATGATGCTTTTTTTTAATCAAATTTTGACTAATTACGCCGTGTACCGCACAATGTCCCCTAAGTTAACAATGACTTGCGAGAATAGCTCTGAAACTGCCATTTTTTAATATTTTCCAAAACAATTTGTTTTTAATATGGTGGGAGGGTGATCAGCTTGCGCTAACGTCGCACGAAAATATGTTTTTGTGTCGTGATTGGTGATGAATACCACAACTGATGTTATGATGAATTATGGCAGAGGGGTACCGGAAGCCGATGCTTTGAGCATTAGTATGTTCAAAATTAAGGTTAGGACGTTTCGTTGTTCAAAATTTGGTGTCCACCAAGTCTATTTGAATGTTTGGTGAGGAAGCAACTCTGGCCGGATGGGATACTGGTTAAGGGGTTTATTTCTAAGAAGAGAAATAAATCGCGTTCCTATGCGGAGTCAAAAAATTAGACATCTATTCCCTTAGATTGCGTATACTTTATCAAAATGTAAGGGACTTAAAACGAAGCTTCAAAACCTGTATATTAACTCTATAGATTGTGAATTTCAAGTTATCGCGTTCACACAAACATGATTGAAATATGAGACAAATTCGTCGGAAGTATTCTGTCCTGAATATCGGGTATTCAGATGTGATAAGTCTGATAAAATTGGTGGTGGGGTCCAGCAGTACGTGCCACAATTCCGAAAAAAATCCTTTCTCTTTCTAAACCAAAGATCGTGGTATTCATTTGTACCCGTCTGAAATGTGATGTTTTTATTACTTGCTCTTACAGTGCGCCTGCGTCTGATTTGTCTATCTACTCACAGCAAGCCACTCTTTTTCAGGAAGTGCCCAACTTTTTGGGATCCAATAACATTTTGATCATTGAATAGGGTGAACAATTCAAGTAATAAATTATTGGATCTAATGTATTTAAATACAATAGATCTATCGATAACTCGGGTTAATTCTATTGTTCAGCCCGGAGATGGTTTTCATTCAACGATTTGTATTTCTTTGCATGCTGGTTTGTACAAACAGAATGAACCTCATAATATAACATTTTGACTGTATTGAAGCATCTGATCCGCAGATAATTTCTAATTTGTTTGTGAAGTTTTTTGAGCAATCATACTCTAATCAAACTTAAAGTGTTGCTGTTAGTTAACCCTATCATACTGGGAATTCTGATATTTTGTCTGATACAAAATTCTTATATTCTGAATATTTATAACAGTCTTTATGGGTGAAGACGTTCATCACTTCCCGGACCTAATGGCATTCTCTCGTAGATTCTTATCAAGTGCGCGGAAATTTTTGTTAAACCGAATCTGGCTGTAGACAATTTATTGAGAATTGTAGACATATTGCGAAACTTTCCGTTATACCAAAACTATTTGAATAACTATTCCGGTTTACAAATGACAAAAAACATAGATAATTTATTTAAATTGTGATTGTAATTCCTAGACACTGCAACCACAACTAGAAATCTAGTGTGCAGCCATTACGCATCAGTGCGTCCAAAAGTTTGCTTTATAGTTGATATATAACGAATTATTTATTAAAATCTTTCGAATTTTTGGCCTGTTTTTAAATATATATTTTTGTATAGTAAGCACATTTGTGAACGAATGACGCCTACTTTCAAATGTAAGCCGTACACTGAAGTCTAATATGCCTGCCAATTCATCTCTTAAATGCATTTATGGATATTACAGCCGAAACGTCAAAGTCAATTTATCACTTACAACGCAAATGTCAGATATAATATAACCGAAAAGTACAAGGCTTGTGTGCTAAAACGTAATTAAATTAAAATTCATATTACGCTGTTTCTGCTATTTCATATCTTTAGCGTTATGACTCCTCTATCATGAATTTTCCTCACTCTAATTAAACTTGAAGTACTATTCCATATAAGTTTTTATTTAATGAGGTATACGAGAATTCGAACTTCTCTTAAGTCTTCCCAACGAAACCCTCGACCAACAAAACAGGCGGTATAAAGCTGTTTATTAGAATTTATATATATATATATAGATTGCTAATGAAAATCGTTTATGAGAACATGGAGGCTATCGTAATAGCGATATTTATTTTACTATTATATATAAGGAGAAAACTTCGATTACAACGAGATCTTTATCGCTTTTAAACATTTATCAGCGAAGTGGTGAAGTGCTTCAGTATCTTTTCATAGTTTTTTTTATTAAAAAGTTGAAAATATGAAGAAATTTCAAACATTGTCTGAACAATTATATACTATTTGTTTAAGAACATTCATATTATGCGCAATGAACAAGAAAACACTGCCTGGTTTGGGATAGCCAGACAAGTCTAATAGTTTCAATTAAATCAAAACACTTCACACATATTTTCACAATGATACATTGAAATTTTTAGAGTGCACAACCACACACTATTACACGGCATTACATATTTTATTTTTCACGCTTACACTAGTTTTTGACCTGGCTTTTGCTTTCACCTTTTCAAATATCGTGCATTGACAAGTTCGATGTGGAAACTCTCTTTCTTTTTATAAATGCTTCAATTTTAAGTAGCAAAGATTAAGCAAGTAAGAAAATTATATTCGACCATAGCCGAATCTCTTATATCCGTCACCGTTATCCTAAAAAGACAAAAATAGTAAAAGAACTAAATTTTCGTGCTCTATAATATGGAGTGGACGAGCCTGATTTTTTTATTTTCAAAATAAAAATTTATGTCACGTGGGCGGTGTACACATGTCCTTTGAAAAGTTTAGGGCGCTTTCAAATGCAAATTTTTAGGCGATATCTTCATTTTTGCGATCGGGAGAATGTTTACCACAGATGTTACACAATTGGACAGACGGACATATGGTACAGATGAACAGACGGACACACTTAGGTGCATTTCAAATTTGAAATTGCCCAAGACTTTCTATACTTTGTGGGGTTTTTGAAGCTTGTTTCTGCGCCTTATAAAAGTATTGAAAATAAAAATTTAATTTTGATTTACTATTACATTGGGTAGGCGTGGTCAATTTTTTTTCATTTTTATAAAGTTGCTGCAACATCGTCCATAGAATATATCTTCAAAGTTTTGTACTTTTACCTATCCTAGTTTATGAGTAATGAGAATCAACCAATTATTTATTCCTTTTGGAAACAGATGTGTTCTCAGTTTACGTGGTTTTGTGGACGTGTCTTTCGATTGATTCGGTCCATTTTCAATGTGAGCCTGCGTGCAAGAACTTTCAACGTGTCTGCCAAATTTGAAGTCGATAGCTTCATATTTGCGGCCAGGAGAATGTTTGCGACACTACTCAGACGGGCATGCTTAAATCAACATAGAATTTGATGCTGATTTAAGAATATATATACTTTGTCGTGTCTCTGACGCTTCCTTCCGGGTGGTGTTGTAATGAAATAAATATACCCCTTATCCTTCGATGACGGGTATAATAAAAGCTAAGGTCAATCCTCAAAGCAATTATATAAAACCAAGTTGCATAAAAAGGAAAAAGGTATAATAGTAATTACAAAACAAAAGAATATAAGAATCTAAATGAGAAACAAATTAAATCTCTGGAAGACGGAAGGAGTTTTTAATATTTATGTAAAAAATATGCACCAAACTTACAAACCAAAACAATGTAACTTAAACTTAAATTTAAAATAGTAAGAGTCGAGATAACAGAATAGCACAACACTTCAATTTTAATACTTTGTGTTAAAATGCCTCCACAATGAAAAAAAAAATAACCACTTTCTCAGGTTTACACTTGAATATGCACTTAAATATATATCATTTTTTTTTTTACAAATTGTACGGCTCTTACACTTCGTTGAAATTTATAAAATATTGATTTTTTACTCAAAACACACCTACTGTTTCAGAAAATGGTGCATTACGTAACTGAGCTTTTTGTCGCTATTTACTTATTTGTTTGCCATTATTTGTCTAAACTAAACTGCTATTTAGAATTATTTATTGTTTAAAAATGATGTCCTTCTTTAAAAACAAAGCACCAGAAAACTCAGCAGATATATTAGCTTTCGTAGTTTTAGGCGTTTCTAATTGCTTTGTTTACTTTTACAAAAAATTTATATCGGAAATATAAGTTATAAAATATGAAAAGAGAAAACTTTAGCCGATGAAATTCTTGACAGTAATTGGTATCCAAGATTCTTGTTGTGTGCTAAGTGTATAACTTGCTAATTTAGTCGTATATTAAAAATTGATGAAAATTTCTATAGTCCAAAAAATTGCTACTTGGTTTTTATAAAAATGTGAACATTATAAGAGGAAGAGAAATCCGCCAAAAAAAAAAAATGGGAATATTGTTGCGGAATGTCTGAAAAATTAATTTTGCTGGTTTTATCAACGTCTGGTTCTGTAGAAACGTACATGTGTAGTAAATGATTGAAATATGATTATGAGTGGAAGTGAGTTATAAATATTGCACAAATATGAGACGGGTTATAAAAATTCATTTAAGAAAGTGTAATCTCGTTTTATACATTCTTAAGAAATGGAAAAATGAATTGAGCGGAATACGGTATACGGAATAACAAACTCGGCGTAGCAAGATATATATGTTTTTAACCCAAAGCAGTTGTTTTCATTTTTTGGATTTTTTTAAAAGAACAACATGCTTGTGTAGTTTTTTTTTCTTTTGCATTTTGAATTTTGGATCGAAAAAGGTTACAACAAAGGTAAGAAATGTATATGCTTGTTAGAAAAAAACAAATCTGAATGCGAGAGAATACAAAAAAAAAAAAAAAACGCCAGAAATGTATGTTTATTTTATCACTACCTGTGTACTCCAAAAAATATTTAATATAAAATCTATGCACCCTGGGATGTTTATACTTTAAAATTACTTTGGATGATTTAAATTTACTTTAGGAGCAAAGTTGCAGACAATAACTAGTTTTCTGATACACATTACCTTATAAGTAAGAACTTGTAAGGCTTAATAGCATGCATTCACATCAAAAGCAACTTATGCTCTTTGGTTTATGACAAAAAAATTTGAAATTCCTTCCATTTACAAGTGAAATTTTGCTTTAAACATAAATTTGTTCGCTGATATTACACTTTGGAACCTAAAAATACGGTTCTAACATAGTTTAGTTCTACATATTTTTTTTACTAAGTTGTAACGTATATTGTGGGTTTCAAAATGTTCACTGTCCAAATATCCACATTTCCTCGCAATACGTCTACTCTAAAAGACGTCAATCCACTAAAAGGTCCTTTTAAAATCTTTCGTATGGCAAAATTGAAAAATTAGAATATAAATAACAGTCCACAAAAAACAATGATAATAATTGTAAACAAATATGGCAATTTGGAAGTAGTTAGATATATAATTTCTGCATGTTTGTGCAATAATTGTTTGTTAAGATCTACGCTATTTCGAAGTAATTATGTGACGCTAATAGCGCCACAGGAATTCTTGTTTGAAGTGCTAGTATCACTTGTGGAACGCCTCACTATGTCAACATTCACAGGCGCATCTATAGCGGGTGTAACAATTACATTAGACATTGTGGCAGTAGTATTATTTTTACTACTGCTGTTGTTGCTTGTTGTAGTTATGTTGGTAGTAACTGGCTGAGTGATATCTGAAGATACGGCAGTTACATGGCCGGCTGCGACAGCAGCTGTTATTAAGCGATGTCCAAATTGTCGTTGGAAATGTTGTGTAAAATTGTTGCTATTACTCCCAAATATATTATGCTGTGTAGGCAAAGGAGGAAGCGAAGGCAGCGAAGGAGACGATGATGGATGATGATGATGATATTGATTACTATAACTCATATTAGGCGTGTTGCTGACGTTCGAAGTACACATATTTGAGGTTTTATTGTTGTCATTGTTGCTCCTATTATTACCTTTGCCACAATTGCTTGTAGATTGCTCACGGGGTTGTTTCGTCAGCTGATTGATATTCAAAGGATTGTTTATGTCTCTAGGGTTAGCACCTATGGGGTTTCTTTGCAACGGCATCATATTCAAAGACGTTGCTGCTTCATTTATACAATTGGCTATTTGGTTAGACGCAGGAATAATTGTGTTGTTATGGTGAGTGTTAGGTGTGCCGGTTCTGGAGGAACTTGGATTGATTTTCGTAGACACGCCCGTATGTAGCAACTGCTTGTAGCTGTTATTAGAAAGACTAGTTGTTGCATTGCAACGCCCACCTGTGACATTAAGTGAGGCATTAGATGTAAGGGCGACATTGGTTACTGGTACAGTATTTGTTGTTTCCGGAGTCGTGGAGTTACTGTGACCAGACAAGTCTGAATCAATCGTTTTCGCAAATTCGGGTAGACATCTATTATTGTTGCTAACTATAATTTTACCCTGCTGATTAGCTGGGCCCACAGCAAGATTACTTACGCGATTACCTAACAGCATTGCTGAATTATTGCTTAGAAGAGACCGTACCATTCGATCAGAGAGAGATGATGGTGATAATGTGGCCGAATTACTAGTGTAATTGGATGTTGAACTCGATGTACCATAACCGGATGCCGAGCCCACTGAAGATGTTGAAGAGGTAGATAGCGTTGGCAATAAAGCCGTTGTGCCGCTATTATTAATTTCACTGACGTACGATTGGGTGCGATCACCAGGTGTTCCCGCACTCGCTACTTGATGTTGCTGAGGCCCGTGCAACGGATGTTGTGACAATTTATTAAGCGATTGTTGTTGTTGTAAATGTTGATTTAGACTGCAGTTTCCTGTAAGCTGATTCCCGTGCAATGCTAGAATATGTGTAGAGGGTTGCCCTTGCATATTTGTTTGTTCATTACCAGCACTTTGAAAAGTGTTCAGCAAAGGATTGGTCGGTATTGCTGGACTAGTTAGTAAATTCAAGGGACTAGCTAAACTGGCTGACGGACTCTGTAAACTGGAGAGACCGCTTAAGCAGCCCGGACTCGACAGACTTTGATTGAGCGACTCATTGTCTTCTTCAGTACTCTTGTGGATATCATCGCCGCTTGCGCTACTTTCTTCACCCAGAGGTTCGTGGTCAATATCCTCATCCTCCTCGCTCTGAGGACCCTCTACATCATCTAGTTCATTAAAACGTTCTTCCTTAGTACTGCTGCTGCTGCTACCGCCCGTTGCTTCCATATAACGTATGCATTTTTTTTTTCTCCTAAATGAAAATAAAAGAACAAAACAAATAAAACTTTATTTTTTAGTTATTATACGTTCTTAAAAACCAAATTTAATTGAATTATGAAGTGCATATTTTTTCTTGGTTTTTCCTTATACAATTTTCAGTTAATATTTACATAAACAAACTTCAAATAAATATATATAATTAGGCGTCAAAAATATAATAGTGGTAATCACAATAATAACAATGAAAGTGTGAAAAAATAAACGTTGAGCAGAAACACAGACAATCTAATTAAAAACATGCAATATGTAAGAACTTACATGCAAGTAAAGCTACTACCAGCAAGAAATCGTTGTCATCAATAGAACAAAAAAAGAAAATAAAATCAAGAACGAAAAAGATCTAAAACTATAATCTTCGACTGTATTTTTAGGTAGAGGAAATTGATAAACAAAAGCTTGAAAAAGATTTAAATAACAGGTTACACAAAAAAAAAATATTGAACGTAAACGGCTGATAAGCACAAGTTCTATTTTGTTATGTTGATTTTGTAAATTGGCAACACCGTCTACGTTAGCAGTTGCATAGTAAGTCTATGCAACTATTAAGAGTGTATAATGAATACGAACACACGTCATATTACCCCGCAGCACATTTTTTTCTTAGCAACTACATCTACACATTTACAATAACCAGAACATTTTGGAAAAAATGTCTCTGCGCAGAAGTTTAAATGTTTTAACAAAGACGGAAGATATACATAGAAATAGAAGTGGTCGGAAACTTTCTCTGCTCCCGAGAAGACGACTCCTTTTGTCTTTACAATTGCCGAATTCGACGTAAATTATATGTCTGTGGACAGCATGGTGTAATTACACATAAAACGCTTTTTAAATTAACGAATTATGAAATAAAAAATTTAGCTAATATTTGGCAGCATTTTCTGTGCGCTGTTTTAATTGATTTGAATTAGTATATGTTGTGGAGCAAGGACATGCACAACGAATGCCAAAGACGAAAAAATTAGATTCCGTTCTCTACATTCCCCCATATCTTTCAGACAAAATTTTGACGTCACAAATTCACAAAGGCAGATGAATTTCCTGTCACAATAAAAAGTTAAAAATGTAATTCTAAAATATGTGATTAGTCAAAGATGATCGATCACCTACTTTCGATTACGTATTATTGAAAACTAAGATCTATCTTACTTATATAGCTTTAGAATATATTTATATTTATCGGTTTTTAGATCACCGATCTTAATTTGCATATATTGCACTTTAGTTGAACTAGACCGTCAACGTGGATACATCTTTCAAAGTTTCTTAAATTAGAAGATGTAATCGTCATTTTGTTTACATGTTTCTGGTAGTAATGGTAGTGGTAATTATTGTATGTTATATAATTTTAATTTTTGTTGATATATTTCTAAAACTTGAAATATCATCAAATTTTTTTTAAAACATTAAAAAAATCTGTGAGACCTTTTTTGCTAAATTAGTTAAACGCAATTGACCTGATTTTCTTTACAACGTTTAATAAATGAAGTACATTTTTAATGCCTTTACCTGTGCTTACGCAAAAGCATATGGCTGCATTTTGTGAATGCCTATAATTGCATATAATAATATGCTTAACATAAACGTATGCTACAATATATTGTCAACGGTAAATTATTACAGTAAAAAGCGAAAATGAATAAAAATATCGGTCTAATACATAGTTCGCAGAAAGAATATATATAAATAATCATTACCTCCAATTTTAACATATTATATAATGTTTACGGCTACAAAAGCAAATCTCCGAAGTAAAAGGCGTAACGCAGAAAACAAAACTTTCTTCGTTTTTTGTCTAAAAAAGTTAGTGTAATTACATTAAAAAGCAAAACGTTTCTGCAAGAGAAAAGTATAACAGTGTATTATTTGCTTTTTGACTGATGAAATCGTCTCCTTTTGATTATTGTAAAAGTCATAAATAATAATTACTTTTGCTTTATTGTTTGGTTTGAATTTTTAATACTTAAAATTAACATTTGAAGTAAGTTTATTCTAATACTTTTTTGCTTTGCCTAAATTGAGTTATGCCATAAAATAATTTGAGTAATTTATATTATATTGAGTAAGATGATATATAACTAAGCTTATATTTATAACTCAACAAAACGCCCACTAAAGTGGCTTAAATTTAATTAATCTGTGCGCTTTGAGTAACATAAAGGAACTGCTATTAGTAAAGGTTTTTGCCAGATTAAAAAAGTCAGTTTTTTAAGCCTTCATTCTTTCTTATTTTTGAAAAGAACTTTTGAAAAATAAAAACAACAAGAACAAAAACATAATGATGCCAACAACAACAATAGTAATATCAACTAACATACAACCATGACAGATTTATTGAATACTTGAAAAAATATTAAAAAAAGATAAAGGAAAGGACTCTTTTAGTACAAAAATAAACAGTGAATTTTTAGATGATGAAATGCTTAATTCACACAGCATGGAATAAGGGAATGCTTTAATTATTTATTTTGCCGTTCTCGTGCTTTTTTACTTCTAGACGCAAAAAATAGAAGTTAATGCAAATAAATATAACCACGAGATGCGAGCAAATGCAAAGCGTAAGTCAAGAAGGAAATACTGCCGCTTATTCTTATACTAAAAGGATACGACAACGCATATTACAAAGATGGAAGAAAAAGAAGGAATGAACGAGCAAAGTAAAAAAGAACAAATAAAACCTCAAAAAATTTAAATTTTAGAGACACAACACCTACATACGATTAAACGGAGTAAGGTCGTCGGCGGCTACGGTGGATCTGAATTAAATGATACTGCAAATCTCGCTGATGAGCTTGTTTAATTAACTGTATGATTGGCTGATTGATGGACCGACCGACTAACTGACAATTCAGTTTGTTTTTGATCTGATTTGATATGCATATATCTTCGGTGCTGACTTAAAATGTTGAAGAAGCTGTATACTTCGCGAGGCGACTTTTTACAATTCATTTTTGAGGCGATTATTTCGCTTCGTTGTTAAGTTGACGTTTTTTCTTTTTGTTATTTAAGTGCCTTTCCCTACTGATTGACGACTGAATTGCTGTGGTTATGCGAATTTACAAATTAACATAGGTGGGAGGCGCTTGTGGTGAGGGTTGCTGAATGCCACCGCCACCGCCTCCGCCACCACTACTATTGCTACTATGCGGCACGCCACCGTTGCCGCCACCACCACCGTTGCTGGCCGTTGCTGCTACGTTATTGTTGCTTGTTCCACCTATCGTATTGCTAGAGGTGTTGGAATGTAATAAATGCTGAGTTAAAACAATTCCACCGCCACTGCTTGCAGGACCATTTACGTTACCACAGCCTGTTCCGCTCGTACTGTTTCCTGCACCCGTGTTAAGCATATGTAGGTGATTTGATGATGACGTTGATGATGATGACGATGATGACGATGATGAATTTGGCAGCAAAACAGTCCCGCCTATACCACTTACAACCGTGTTAATCATTGCACCCGTAACCATACCACTAGTCACAACACCAACGTTACTTGCAGCATTGCCAGAGCTGGGCAGACCAGTCAAAGCCGGACTGTTTATGTGGTGGTTAATAAAAAAATTTCATAAGTTTCAAAATCATCATCCATCATAGGTAGGCAATGCAAAGGAAGGGAAGGTTCAAAAATTTGGGGTTATTTGTTTGCTTCATAACTTTTTTTGTTGCTTTTATTTTTAGGTAGAAATGATTTTGGATTAAAAATTAATGTAAAACTGAAGTAAATAATAAATGCACTTATAATTTTCTATTTTTTGAGTGAGCATTCCAAAAACTATAAACCACTCTTCCAATGTAGCGTTATACGACAACCATTTACCTACGAAATCATCTATGCTATTACCCAATGTCCATCTTTTTTCCTTTTGATGCATATGAAAATAACAGATGTGCAATAAATTGAAGCACCTTTATAAAATCAAACCACTAACAGCTGCTGGGTGCTGCATATCTTAATGGAAGACCACTGATAAGATTCTATTTTCCGTTGCTTTGATTTTGAAAATTCATAAACTCTAAAATAGTTTCCTTTGTAATCTCAAACCTTTGCTTTTGTTTCAAACTTTGTCAAAGGGATTGTAATAGTCAAACAAATCGTGTTCGCTAATGACATTTAATAACCGACACGAACGTATTATAATAGATATAATGTTATATGTACATAATATGTCTAACAAAAATAAAAAAAATTTTTTTCAGCTAGATTAGAAACACGCTTTAAGAATTCGCATACGATGTAAGGACAATCATATATGTGGCTGTCACTTCAAGAAAACGTTGGTTTTTTTTTGCTATTTTTCAGTGTAGGATTACGACATAACGCAATATATGAAGAACTAGGTATCGTCGCTATATGCGCAAACCTTATAAATGTAAGAATATCCAATTTTCTCAATTGTGACCGATCGTCGTGAATTTTAAGCGTAAGTTGGTGATGTAGAACTTATGCAGAACGAAAAATATGAGGAACGTAATAAAATGCAAGAAATGCACCATTTGTCTAACAAGCACAAGGGGTCGTCCGAAAGGAAGGAGTTTCTACTCGTTTCGTGCGGAGACCTGCTCATGCCGGTATGAATTCACCACGATTGAGACTTATCTAAAGAAAACTTCCCTTGAAAAAAATGAATCTACCCAAATTGCTGTAGCCTTTTTTCTGACGACAAAGGCCAAAAAATCTATAGGAGAAATTTTACGTTGGTATACTTATATTGTAGAGTTCATTGGCTTAGTTTTCTTTGTATCAGTATCGATTTATAATTTAATTTTGAGAGAACTCACATTGTAAAAAATTTAAACAATTTATCTGCGTACGAATTAGATTCTATACGCTTTATAATTACAAAGCAAATAAATATAATTATTTAATTTATCAAAATTTTAATATTAACCTTGATACCGCACACATACTGAATATATTTATTTCCCAATCCATGGAATTCTACGTTTTTTTAATAAGCACATTAACTTTCGTTACTTTAAGATAACCGGTAAATGTATGTAGCAGAAGGAATATGTAGTAAAGAACAGTTTTCTCGAACAGATGTGTTTCCCTTGTTTGTGTTTTTCCGTAGCAGTTTGCAAAAGGACCCTGCATTAAACCAAAAAATTTATTGGGAAATACATGTTTCCGAAACAATTGGAATTAGTATTCAGTTCTGCGTTTGGCGATGACGAAGTCGAAACGACAAGCAAACGGCATTCTTCATACAGCAGTGAGTAACTACATTGCAACAGTTTTCTAATGGGACAATTACTTCATCTCAATCACCATATATATGTATCTCCAAGGCTTCAGAGGCCTATCAAAGTGACAATACAATGTTTGCTCATTAAATTCCAAAGGCATTAATATAGAATCTGAATAAAATAAAATTAAATTAGCCGGCGGTACACGGCTATAAAAGTTATCATGCACAAGAAGAAGCAGGAATAAATACAACGAAAATAAGTGTGTCGTCAGTGCAATCAATGTTATTGTTGTGGCAAAGAAGATTAGCTTACATTCAAAAATGTAATAAGGAAAGGCGAAAAGCCTTTCAGCAATGAAAGACTGTAGTAACCCTGGAGAAATTAATAAACGGTTATTGCAGGCTGGCTTACTGAAGGAGAAGCGGTATTGCAAGTCATTAGGTTCTTCTCTTTTAGTAGCACTATTAAAACAGCAAAAACAGAAGTTTAATGTGGTTGATCCGCTTGAGTGGCCGACTAAGCTAAGTATTGCTAGTAACAACTCAATAGTCGTGGGTTCAAAGGTAAAGTGCGGTCGATTTTTCAATCAAGGCGATAGTCTCAGGTTGCCAGCACTTTAGTTTTTGAATTTATTTCTCTGACTAAATTAATTGTAAGAATAATAATGTAGTTCAAAACGAAACAACTTAAGAAGCATGCACCGTAATCTGTATTGTCATATCTCACATTTTAGTTAAGCATTTGTCGAACTTTTTTTAGGCTTCTTCGGCACTGTGCGTTGAGGATATAATTAATTTGATCACGTTAATTTTGATTTGATTAGACAATTAGGTACTGCAATCTTCTATATATAAAAGCTTAAGAGTTAGGAAGGTTCGAGTAAGAATTAAGCAATAAATTATCATATAGGGTAACTCCTAAATATTTCAAATTGTTTGCTAGGTTAATGTGGATTTCACCCATTTTTGACAGTACATTTAAATTAGTATTAGGGTCCCAATATCTTAACGTTAGTGTTGCACCAGTTAAGTGCAGATCAATTTCGATCATCGAACGAGAAATATAAATCAAATAACAGCCAATATTTGGCTGTAATGTATCATTATTATCCAATTTCTTTTTCAATATTTTGTGCGGATCTTGCCATTATTTGTGGAATACAGTACATACATATTCATACAGCGTCCAGAAATTGTTAAAACTTATTACGAAGACAATGAACCCACGGTTACATTTCGAGCATGTTGGATGCAGCATGCATTTGATTAAATGACCTCGCAAATAGGAATTATTGCCCCTTTGGTGTAAAAAAAACGCATCTGATGTGCCTAACGGCCTTTTAAGTGTACAAAAATGGCTTTCTGGTCTAGTGGATATATGATGACACAATCTATCCATTCGTACCCTCTACGACTTTTTGTTTTATAATAAAAGCACATTACAACGACGCGTCGAAGTTTTTCTTAATTTACAGTAGGTTATGGTTCCAGGAGTCCATGCGGGATAATCATTCATTTAGAAATACACATCTTTATATAAAGTAATTAAAAAATTCTATGGCAACTTTGCTGATGCTCCCATAGCGAACAGCTGGCATTTCTCTCTATTCCGTGTTGACACCCACGTTCTTTTCGTTTTGTATCGATATATAATATTAAGCACAATAAATTTTCAAAATAGAAATAACAAAGTATAAGTGCCACTGTGCTGTTCATAATAAAGCCTGCACAGGTTGATAGCCCCGATGACAAATTCCGCAAAAAAGAACACGATTGGAAATCAACACGGTGACATTCAACAATCTAAGCAAAGACAAGGAGAATAAGCTGCACGAATCGCAATTAAAATTCCGCCATTTTGGCATTTCCGCCATAATCGTGATTGGCCTAAATCGATTCGCAGTTTATTGCCACAAGCATTACTGCCGGCAAAAAAAAACACCACACGGCACCATAGTAGCAATGATCGAGAGGAATGTTTTAGCACAGGTTAGCGATACCGTATTGGATCTACCTGAAGAAGAAATATACACAACGCTAAACAGTCGACTGGTTGAAAAATTCTCGGAAGCAAGACAAAAGCGTACTAAAAGGTTAATTCTTCAAATGAAACCAACCAACTCAATCAGCATTAATAGATAAAACCATCATAACGGACAAGGTAATGGACGCCAAACAAAATATCGCACGTGCCAGTTGTCAGAGCTACGTCAACTAAGAAGATTAAGTTGGCTCACCAAATATGCGAGTTATCAAAGGAGATTGCTGGCTTAAAAACAACATTTTATCTAAGCGCTCGCACTCGACCTAGAAATAGATCACCATTTAGACGCCGACAGCAAATGTCAAAGCAAAACGGGTTGTGCTGGTACAATCACAAATTTGGTAATAATGCCGGAAGCTGCCGTTCACCATACGTAAAATCTTTAAACTGACTATTCTGTTGCCGCTGTCGGTGAGCGGCAGCAAATTTGTTTGATAGTTACCGACAAGAACAATAGAAAATTTTTGGTGGACACTGACGTCGAGTTAAGTGTAATTTTACCATCGCAAATTAACAATGATGTACAGCTATAAGCAGCAAACACACCCTTAATTAACACCTACGATGCAAAAGCATTGAAACCAATGACTCCATATCCGTATTTGCATCAACTTTTGTGAAGACGTATTGCTGGAACGTCTGTCTTCTTGTTGTGCTGTCACCAGTATTAAAGGTGACGTATCAACCATTTTATTTATCAATAGTGATGCTCACTTCCACGACGTTCTTTTAGATTGTACAGGTCTGGTCATCCAAAATTTACATCCAATAAAAATAAAGGCACAAGGTGCTTTATAACTAAGCGGTCATCCACTTTCTCGAAACCTAGGCGCTTTGCATCAGAAAATTGAAAGCAGCAAAGAAAAAGATGCAATTGCTTCTTGAGGTTGCAATAAGCAGACTCTCACGTAACGCTTTGCTCGTGGTCACCTCCAGACTAGAAAGCCAGAAAAAGCATCACCTCGCTAAATACGTTATTTATATTTTGGAAGCCAATGTAATACCGCTATCTAATATTTGCCTGGAAAACAACACTTTGATGTAGACGTACCTTTAAGTATTAGCGTACTTCGCGTCTCTAATGAAATCCATTACAGGCAGTTGTCAGAAGACCAACCAAGTGACAGCGAGCTAACCTAACTAATAAAAAGAAGCCTTACCGACCTTAAATTTAAAGCTTTCAGTGTACGCGGTATAACAGCCGGAGTAATGTGTGATCTGAGTACAAATAAAACACGACCATATCTTACCCAGGAATTTCGAAAAATTGCTTTCAAGACCATTCGTAATATATGTCACGCGGATATACGCAAGACGAAAATTTGCTCACAGAAAGATTTGTGTGGTCACATATCAACAATGATTGTAAAAATTAGATGAAATCATGTCTAACGTGCCAAAAAGCGAACATCTATTGTCATAATTACGCAGCAAATGGTACCTATAACTTAGCTAGTTAGCGTTTCGAACATGTCAACATGGATATTATAAGCCTATTTTCGCCACGCAGCAGTCACCATAGCTGCCGAACTTCTGTCGAGCGCTTCTTATGATGAGTCGAAGCTTACTTTGTTGTAATAATAACTGGGTTGTTCACTTTGGCACTCCTTTAGGAGTTAGCCCCAGCAAATGAAGACAATTTGAATATTGTTTTCTTCGAAATATGAACAAGCTGCACATCACCGGTCTGCGAATGGTCTCATGGAAGGATGGTACAGAACACATAAAACAGAACACATAAAGATAAACCGTTGATATATCTTGATTACCGCCCGTGTAACAAAAAGAAATGACAACAACGCCAGTAGAATTACTTTTCGGCACTCATGTGAGACTCCCTTTTGAGTTTTTAGGAGCTGTGAAGACAGGCAGTTCAAGTGAAAAAGATTTTATTGAAAGACTTCTCAGCTTCATGCGTGTGCTTCAAGAGTAACTCTGACTGCAAATTATGCTAAGCATTCATTCAATCGGAACGACGACTTCTCCAGTCACCTTACGAGGGGCCATTTCCTGTGGCGGAACGAAAGTAAAAGTATTTTAAAATTGACATCGGCAGTAAACTAGCTAACGTGTCCATAGATCGTTTAAAGCTTTCGCTGTAAGGAAAGATCCACCTGCAGTATCACCCCGAGTCAGCAAACCAGGCGCGTATATTACCAGAGTTGATAGAAAAGTACAGTTTAAAAATGCTTCTTCTGATATTCAAACTTTTTCTCTTTTATTATATAAAGCAAGTAACAATGTCGTACGCGAACAACACGTCAGATTAGATACCCTACACTACCTAGTTTTATTCATAATACACCAAAAATTATTTTCATATTGAATGAATGCAAACGTCAACGTGGTCTAAATTTAACAAACTGAATTTACTTGTTAGAGATTTTATAATTTTCCAGTACTTCTATCATAATAAAGTACAAAGTAGGCTTTGTCATTATAGAAGAGATTGCTTTCATGACAACCTCTATGTGCGATGCGGTCTTATTTATAGATCTATGTGATCTAAGTTCCTTATGGTTGATTTACTAATGCCAAATTTTCATCATACAATGTTAGAAATTAAACTTTTGTCTGCACCGCTTGTAGAACAAGCTATATGAAATTTGTGCATTCAGAATGGTTAAAGATAGACCCACTTTCCATCGTACTGATTGAATCAGAA